TCAATTTTATGCCAACAAATTATGAAACCTAGATGAAATGGACAAATTTCTAGAAAGACAAAAATTAGTGAAATTGACTCAAGAAAAAATAGAAAACCTGAATAGACTTATATCATAAGTAAAGAGATGGAATTATTATTTTAAAAATTCCCCCAAATAAAGCCCAGGCTCAGATGGCTTCACTAAAGAATTCTACCAAATGCTTCATGAATATTTAAATACTAATCCTGTACAAACTCTTCCAAAAACTGGAAGAATAGTAAACTCTTCCCAGCTTATTTTATGAGGCCAGTATTACCCAATTTTCAAAGTCAGATAATCACAAGAAAACTACAGATAAATATCTTCAATAAATATAGATAAATCTATGCTCAACAGAATACTAGCAAATGAAATCCAGCAATATTAGAAAGGATTATACACCATGACAAAGTGGGATTTACCCCTAGGATGAAAGATTGGTTTATCATATCAAAAATCAATCAATGTCTATACCATAGTAATAGAATATAGGACAAAAACCACATGATTAGATCAACATATACAGGAAAAGCATTTGATAAAACCCAATATCTTTCATGATAAAAACACATAACAAACTAGAGATGAAATAGAACTTCCTCAGTCTGATAAAGAGCATCTGTGAATAACCTACAGCTAATATATTTAATAGTAAAGATTGAAAGCATTCATTCCCTCTAAGATCAAGGACAAGACAGCACATCTTCTCTTGCTACTTATGTTCCTCATTGTACTAGAAGTTCTAGCCAGGGTAATTAGGCAAGGAAAAGAAATATTAACAAAAGGCATCCAGATTGAAAGGAAGAAGCAAAACTATCTCTATATGCAGATTACATGATCTTATATACGTATAAAATCCTAAGAAATACACACACACACATACACACACAGCACACCAATAAGTGACTTCAGTGGCATGGTAGGATACAAGATCAATATATAAAAATCCAGTTGTTTTTCTACACACTATCAATGAACAATCTAAAAAAGAAAGCAAAGGTACAATTCCACATATAATGACAACAAAAATGATAAAACACTCAGGAATGAATTTAATAATGGAAGTATAAGATTTGCATATTGAAAAAAATTGTTGAAACAAATTAATTAAGACTTAAACAAATGGAAAGTATTTCAAAGATTTGAAAAGTAAATATTGTTAAATGGTAATACTCCTCAAATTGATTACAGATTCAACACAATTCTTACCAATTTTTTAGTAGGTTATATATACATGTGTATATATATATATATATATGTATATATAAAGAAATTGACAAGCTGATCCTCAAAAACATATGGAAATGTAAAGAACATAGAATAGCCCAAACAACCTTAAAAAAAAAATTGGAGAACTCACACAACCCAGTTTCCAAATTTACTGCAAAGCTACAGTAGTCAATACCATATAGTGAATACTAGCATAAGGATAGATCTGTGGGCCAGTGTGATACAATTCAGAGTCCTGAAATAAAACACCTGTAGCCAATTGATTTTCAACAGGAGTGACAAAATAATTGAGTGTGGAAAGAATAGTCTTTTCAACAAATGTGCTGATACGAATGAATGTCAACATACAAAAGAATGAATTTGGAACCTGTCACACACTAGATACAAAATGAACTCAAAATGGATCAAAGACCTACATGTAAAAGTGAAAGCTCTAAAACTTTTAGAAAATATAGGTGTAATTATTCATGACCTTGGATTAGGCAACAGTTTCTTAGATATGATACATAAAGCATGAGTAACCAAAGGAAAAAATAGATAAATTAGACCTCATAAAGATTTAAAATTTTGATGTGTCAAAAGACACTATCGAGAAAAAGAAAAGACAGCCTACAAAATCAGACAAAATATTTGCAAACCATTTGTCTGGCAAGGGATTTTATTTTGAATACATAAAGAACATTTACAAGGCAATAATAAAAAGACAAATTATCCAGTTTAAAAGTGGGCAAAGGATTTAGATAGCTATTTCTCCAAAGAGGATATACAAATGGCCAATAAGTGTATGAAAAGATACTCAACATCAGTAGTCATCAAGAAAATGCAAGTCAAAATCACAATAAGGTACCACCGCAGACAGACAATAACAAGTATTGGTGGAGGACATGGGAAAGTAGAACTCTTATACACAATAGATAGAATTATAAAACGGTGAAACCACGTTGGAAAACAATTTGACAGTTCCTCAAAAAGTTAAACATGGAGGTACTGAATACCTCAGCTAATTTCACTCCTACTTAGAGAATTGAAAAAATATATCCACACCAAAACTTGTATATGGATGATCACAGCAATATTATCTATAATAGCCAAGAGTGAAAACACTCCAAATATTTACCAGCTGATTAAAGGATAAATAAAATGTGATATAGCTACACAATAGGATATTATTCAGCCATAAAAAAGAATCAAGTACTTATTTGTGCAATAACATATAGGATCCTTGAAAATATGCTAAGTGAAAGAAACCAGACATAAAGGCTAAATACTGTGTGATTTCATTTATATGAAATCTCTAGATTAGGCAGTGATTTCCAGGGATCATGGGGAGGAAGGAATGGGAATGTCTACTAATGGATAGGTGTGTTTTTTGTGGTATGATGGAATTTCTGGATTTAGAGCGTGGTGATGGTTGTGCAACTTTGAGAATATACTAAAAAAAAAAAAAAAAACTATTGAATAGTATATTTTTAAAAAGAATCAGTGAAATAAGATGTTTTTCTTCCTATATTTTGCCATATAGATTCTTATTCCATAGATTAGAATGGGGCTCAGGAATTTGCAATTTTATTAAGAACTCCAGATTATTTTTAAGTACTTGATATGTTGAATCACGATTTAAGAAAAAATATTTTCAAACTATTTTTCTCTAAATTTGAAAGTAGTAAATTTAAACATCTACCTTTGAAATCTAGAAAATCTAGTTCCATTTTTTTCAAACTCCTTTCATGTCTAGCCACCAAAGCTTCAGCAGATTCTGCAAGTGTGGTCTTACCTAGGGTTCCTTACTAATGTGAGGTTTTATTTGATTTTAACTAAAGTAGATCTACAGTTGTCCCTCTGTATCTGTGGGCTGTGCATCCACGAATTCAGTTAACATGGATTGAAAATATTCAGGTAAAAATAATTAAAAACAATGAAAACAATGCATGTAAAAAACAATATGACAACTATTTACACAGAATTTTCTTTGTATTAGGTATTACAATTAAACTAGAGATGATTTAAGTATTTGGAAACCTGTGTATAGCTTATATGCAAATACTACACCATTTTTATGTAAGTGGCTTGAACGCTGGCATAGTTTGGTATCCATGGAGGTCCTGGGACTAATCGCCCATGAATGCTGAAGAACGATGGTATATTGACAAATTAATATGAAATATTTTGACTTACATAATTTATTCTTGTTTTCAACCACAAGACTTTCCACAGGACATTGTTTCTTAAAATCTCTGTTAGAAGAGGAAAACCTTTCTCTTTCTTAGTCTAACTTTCCTGGTAGTTCAGGGAAAAGTACTTGTGGGCTGCTTGTGGCTCTGCCACTGACAGGATTTCAGTTAGGGCTATAAAACCTTAGAAATAATTTAGAGTCCTTTGTATATCTCTTGGTAGACAACAAGGGCCCCGTTACTTTCAAATTTTAATTAATGAATTGTAAACACCTGGAAAATAAAAATGAAAATATTAAAGTACAAAATTATTCAAAAAATTCTAACTAGAGTTCATCTCTGTATCTCAGCAGCATAGGCATTCTCATATCTACTGCTGGAAATTCCTTCAATTTTAAAAATATCATTGTGAAATTCAAAGTTACCACTGCTTATCTTAAGAGACCTTGATAAAAAAGAAATCCTAAAGTCAAACATTAATTGTTGTATGCAAATGCATTATTATGGGTTCTATTCTTAAAACATTATAAAATATTATATCTATTTTAAAAAATCCAGATACCCTGACCGATGTATAATGACAAAGGCAAAACTCATAAGACCTCTGGAGGTGGAGTGGGGAGAAATAGTGGAGGGTTAAGTGCCATGGGCCGAATGTTTATATCCCCCGAAATTCATATATTAAAGCCCTAATCCTCAATGTATTGGTATTTGGAGGTGGGTCCTTTCAGGGGTAATTAGATGGAGAGAGTAGACCCTTATGATGGAATTGGTACCCTTATGAGAGGAGACATGAGAGAGATAATCTGTCTCTCCATTGTGTGAAGATACAGCCAGAAGATGGCTGTCTTCAAACCAAAAAGAGCGCTCTCACCATTCGACCACACAAGCATTTGATCTTGGACCGCTCAGAACTGTAAGAAAGACATGCTTGTGGATCTTTTTGTTTGTTTTGTTTTGTTTTGTTTCTTTAAGCCACTCTGTCTGTGATATTTTTTTATAGCAGTCCAAACTACTAAGACAACATGCTTAAGAAATTGAATCTAAGAGATGTCAGGATTGAGGACCAGTCTATGAACTTGATGATGGAGACATATAAAAGTGATTGAATCAAAGGCAGCTCAAAATAGTCATTAAAAGCACTTTTTTGATGTAAAACAGACATTACTGTCTTTGTAATAGTAAATAACAATAAATATGATAACAAAAATTTACAATAGTTATTATATGCTAGGCCTTGTACTAATCTCACTACAACATAATGAAGTAAGTATATTATCTTCAAAGAAGGAACTTAATGCATTGAGAGGCTAACATGTTACTTAATGTTTTAGACTTCATTTTTGTACCTCTGAACTGGCAATAATTATTTCAAAAGATTTAAGAGGATTAAATGAATTAAAATGTAAATAAATCCTCTTAATACATTGTTGGTACATAGTACACACTCAAAAAATGGAAAAACTTGTCATTTTCAGGTGGATATTATATGATCCATTTCATCTTAATATAAAAAGTCATGTTAACTTACAATATATTATAGTGTTAAGACTGTATAACACTTTCATTTGTTTTGAACCTAGGACCGACTGGACCAGCTGTCCCTCCACCTGCAGGTTACCCAGGAGGCTTGCCTATGGGATACTACAGTCCACAGCAGCCCAGTATCTTCCCCTTGGGCCCACCAACTGGTGGTACCCATACTGTCCAGTATCAGCCTGGCAAATATCCTGTGCCAAATCAGCAGGCTCCAATAACATGGATGCCAGGGCCACCTCCTGTGCCAAACTGCCCTCCTGGTCTGGAATACTTAGCTCAGGTACTCCATGCACATACAAATTATGTTCTTATGAAGTATGACCATGGAGACCTCAGAAGAGAAAACAGGCCAGACACAGTTAATAAAAGAGATGAATCAGTGATGAGAAATGCCTAGTTTGTGAAACTGTAAGAATGCTAATACTAATGTCAGAAGTTTGAAGGGGGAGCAAAGAGTATAGGGATGTTTTTAGCGGGGTGAATGTGGTTTTCATAAGGATTTGTGTTGAGTTTTAAGGCATTCAAGATGCTTTCTTGAAGGAAACTAGAGAAATAGGAATGGGAATAGAAAAAAAAAAAAAAACGCTCTCATAGATGCTAGTTGCATCATTTGCTTAGAAGTAAAGACTTAACATCAAGTAAACCAACATAAAAAAGAACAAAACACAACACAGCAGGGGAATTACCTTATCCTATTGAATACCTTATCCTATTGCTTTTTTTCCCCACCCATAATTTTCATTAGTCACTCTTACTACTCTCAAAACATACAATATAAATAAAAATCAGGGACTTACCAAGGATATGACCTCAGTCCAGGTTCCAGAAACCCCCTTCACATAACACAATGACTCTCTAATTTCCATCTATATAGGCATTCTGGAGCCACCAGGACATCCGGATTTTTTGAAAAATTAAAATTTCTGTTACTCCAGTCAACACACAAATGATAAAGTAGAAACATCGTATTGCTGACATGCAGAAAGTTTTAGTGGTCTGGATAGAAGAGCAAAACAGCCACAACATTTCCATAAAGCCAATCTTAATACAGAGCAAGGGCCTAACTTTCTTCAGTTCTATGAAGGCTGATAGAAGTGAGGAAGCTGCAGAAGAGAAGTTTAAAGCTAGCAGAGACTGGTTCATGAGTTGTAAGGAAAGATGTCTCCTCCTTAACATAAAAATGCAGCAAGTACTGATGTAGAAGTTGCAGCAAGTTATCCAGAAGACCTAGCTAAGATCATGATAAAGGTGGTTACACTAAACAGCAGATTTTCGATGTAGACAAAACAGACTTCTATTGGAAAAAGATGCCATCAAGGACTTTCACAGCTAAAGAGGAGCAATCAAGGCATGGCTTCAAAGAACAGGCTGACTCTCTTGTTAGTGGCTAACGTAGCTGATAAGTTTAAGTCGAAACCAATGCTCATTTGCCATTCCAAAAATTCCAGGACCCTACAAAATTATGCTAAATCTAATCTGTGATCTATAAATGGAACAACAAAGCTGAGATGACAGCACATCTGTTTGAAAGCATGGTTTGTTGAATACTTTAAGCCCCTACTGGTCAAAAAAAAAAAAAAATCCTTGCAAAATGTTATTACTTTTTGATAATGCACCTTGTTACTCGAGAATGCTGAGGGAGCTATATAAGGAGATTAATGTTGTCTTCATGCCCGCTAACACAATATCCATTCTTCAGCTCGTGGATCAAGGAGTAATTTCAGTTTTCAAGTCTTATTGTTTAAGGAATAGATTTTTTAAGGTTACAGCTGCCATAGATGGTGGTTTCTCTGATGAATCTGGGCAAAGAAAATTAACAAACTCCTGGAAAGGATTCACCCTCTGGATGCCAGTAAGAACATTCATGATTCATGGAAGGAGGTCAAAATATTAACATGAACAGGAGTTTGGAAGAAGTTGATTCCAGCCCTAATAAATGACTTTGAGGGATTCAAGACTTCCGTGGATAAAGATGTGTTGGCAATATCAAGAGAACTAGAATTAGAAGTGGGGCCTGAAGATGTGATTAAATTACTTCAATCTTAAGATAAAACTTCTAAGACATAAAGTGTAACTACAATGTTTGTACCCTCACAAAACCCTGGAATAATAAATAAATAAAAAAAAAAGATAAAACTTTTAACAGATGAGAAGTTGCTTCTTATGGATGAGCAAAGAAAGTGGTTTATTGAGATGGAATCTATTGGTGGAGATGCTATGAACACTGTTTAAATAACAAATAATTTAGAATATTATTAATACATGAATGTATTTGATAAAAGAAGCAGCAGGATTTAAGAGGATTGATTCCAATTTTAAAAGAAGTTCTATTAATACTATAGTAGGTAAAATGCTATCAAATAGAATCACATGCTACAGGGACTTCTTTGGTAGAAGGAAGAATCAATCAATGTCATAAGCTTGTTTTCTTATTTAAGAAATTGACACAGTCACCCCAGCCTTCAGCAACCATCACCCTGCTCAGCCAGCAGCCATCAATATCCATGCAAGACCCTCCACCACCAAAAGGATTATGACCAGCTGAAAGCTCAGATGATTGTCAGCATTTTTTAGCAATAAAGTATTTCTAATTAAGGTATTTTTTAGACATAATATTGCACACTTAACACACTACAGTATAGGGTAAACATAACTTTTATATTTAATCAGGAAGCAAAAAGTTTTTGTTACTCACTTTATTGCAATATTTGCTTTATTGCAGCAGTCTGGAACTGAACCTGCAATATCTCAGGAGTAGGCGTGCAGTGAATATTTTTACTTTTTAGTTCTATATGTTAATATTCTAGACTATTAAAAGGGACTATAAACCATTTTAGGAGAAATGTTTGATATTTTATAAGACATGTTTCAACCCCCTTACCTGATTGTGTTCCATACAGGAAAAGGTTTGATTATGTCCTTTCTATACCTTCCAGTTATTAATCACATCACAAAACATTTATGTTTAGTTATTTTTAGTTTTATTTATCACCACATTCATATTTTGTTTAATTAATGTATTCAACCAATATTTGGTGAAATATGTCATTTCAGGCATTGTTCTCAGCCCAGGGATTAGAGATGGTCTAATGGTCTAAATATTAATAATCTAAAATTATATGAATAAGGTCAGTGTATCCTCAAGAAGGCTTTTTCACTTCTGCTACCATGTTCTCACATATAACAGATGATGGGCCCATCAAACTGTTCATCTTTAGAGTGGTTCCTAAGTAAAGATAGAAGTTTCTCTAATGGTATCGCCAACCTCTCCTTTTATGTGTTACCACCTAAGTAATGTTTCCTCTCCCTTGCCCTAGTTCTATTGACATACTTCTGCCCTCATGGACCCTCCTCTTATTAAAGTGTGCACCTGGGGAAGACCCTGGTGTTAGTAGGACAGTCGGTGTGTTAACCTCTTTCAGAGGCACTTGTGAAATAATATAAAATTGGACACTGCATGTGAGATTCACCCTGGCCTCTTTGTTCTCCCTAAGTCACGGAGAGAATTTCCTTCTCTTTGGCTGGCCCAAATTAAATTGCTCTGAGCTTCCTAAGCACCTCCAATCTAAGGACGATATGTCAGAGAGATGGGCGAGTAGGGATCTAGGAACAATCTATGTAAGCACAGCTTCTTCTAAATGCTATTTCTATAGCAAGTAGATGTTTTTCTGATATATTGGGCAACTGCTTGTTAAAGTGGAACTGAAGGAAAGTGTTTTTCTTATGTGGACAGCTCTACTAATATCAGTATGATCAGATGCAGATAAGCTAACTTTCATTGATAAATTTTTTTGACTCTATTCACCTTCAAAAAGATATTTTTGTCTCAATTGATACGTTTGATATCTATCTCATCAGCTTCTTTTCTATGCTAGTTTAATTTAATTCTGTTATTCCTCTCTTCTAATTACTTTGTTCTATCCCAACAGTTGGACAACATACATGTTCTTCAGCATTTTGAGCCAATGGAAAGTATGTATAATTTTTGTTAATGTTCAACAGTATTTTAAACAGGTAGAAATTTGCATTATCTAATATCTACTTCATTCTTTATATTGATCATTTTCAGTGGTTCGAAGAGAAGAGAAAAACTATGGTCTATAAATTTTGCTTTCGAGAAAGTAATGAAGCAAATTATTTTGTATAATTTTATTTATCTATAAATCATATGATCAAAAGCTCTTGGACTTGAAAAAGGCGTTCATTTTATTTGGTCAACCCCCATCCTTTATCCCTTATTTCTGCTCCTTATCCATCTTTCATACATGAGTAAAAGAAGGAGCTAAGGTACTAAATGAGTTAGCTTGGAGCACCACTGTCAGCAAATCAGTGCCAGAGCTGGAAATAGAAGTTAAACCACATTCAAGTCATCAGTGCCAGAGCTGGAAATAGAATCTAAATCTGCTGAATTCTGGTTCAGTGCCCTCGCTTTGGAAGTAAGAAGAAAATATCACAGTCAAAATCATGCCTGTTCTCAGTTCGGTCTTTCAAGATTACTGACCCTCACTGTACTAGCTGTACACATTCATTTGGCGACAATAATAGGGCCTTTGACTTTTCTTGGTTTGTTTTCTTATTTGCAAATAGTAATGATCCTATAGTCATCTCAGCATATTTCATGAGCAGATTAATTAAAGGTCCAATGTATAATTTCATTTAATTGATTTTATAATTAAAGTTTTCTAAGTTCAGATACTCCAAGAATATTGTTTAAATTTTTGCTTTTGTGTGGAAAAATTTTAAAAATGAATTTACAATGAGCTTCTTATTAATAAAAAAAATGTTTTGCATTTCCAAAATTATTTAAATACTTATAAAGCACATGGATTTTTGGGAGTTCTAATCAATTGTATATATTTCCCTTGAAATTTTTAAAAGTTATTTTGCTTTAAGCCCCTAAGAAATACTAAACAAGGACTTCCTGAGGGCCATTTTGACTGGTTCTAATTTAAGACGACGTTCTTATTTTATTTTATAGCGATAACACATTTTGAAACTAACAATAGATATGACATTAAAAACAACTCAGACCAAATGGTTTACATCGTAACTGAAGACACAGATGACTTTACCAGGAATGCTTATCGGACACTAAGGCCCTTTGTCCTCCGCGTCACGGACTGTGTGGGCCGAGAAATCATGACAATGCAGAGACCCTTCAGATGCACCTGCTGTTGCTTCTGTTGCCCCTCAGCCAGGCAAGAGGTCAGAGAACGGAAGTTTAATCACTGTTTCTTTCTGATCCAACTCTTCACAGCATGATGTGCTCCTTTCAAAACTACATAGGAAAGATATTCCCTGGCCCTGCCAGTCAGAATGGAAGAAATTAGTGGGGAGGGAGGAAGCCAAATTGTCTTACCTAAGGAAAATCATAGAGGACTTTTCTTGTGAGCTCATATTCTTCACATGCTGGTTGGTGGGTCAAGCACAAAATAGGCTTGTTTAGGCAATGACCACTCTTCTATCAGTTTTGTCTACTGAATTAGAAATTTATGAGTTTGTCGGTAGTCACATACATTTATCTAAATGTACCTGCATATAATATCAGGTAATGCTAAATATAAACATATACTTTTAGATTTGGAAGGGACTTTAGATACCTTTATGTTAGTCATTCCAACCCACATCTTTCTACAGAATAAGAGTGGCTCAAAAAGATTAAGTGCCTGAGAAGGTGTCACGCTTGGCAGAAGACAGTGCTGGAACTAGACTGCAGATGTGCTGAGTTACAGTTTGGTTACTGTTTTATTGTCTGTGCAGTTCCAGGAAAGTTGTTTTCTACAGTAAAAGAAAAGCAGTTTTAGAGAGAGGTCAACCAGAGTTTGAATTCTAGATATGGTACCTACTAAATTTGGACAATTTACTTAACGTTTTTGAGCCTTAGTGTTCTTATTCATAAACTGGGTAGAATAATATCTCATAGGATTACTGGGATAATATATTATGTTAAATAACAGCATTTACTAAATGTCAATTTATTTACAACCCTCTCTGTGCCTTAATTTATTTACCTGTAAAACAGAGATATTACTAGTACCTATCTGATAAGATGATTGTTTCAAGGATAAAGCCAATTCCATAGCACAGTGCCTGGCAAATAGTACAGTACTCAAAAAATATTTGTTTGACTATCTATTGTTCTCAGATATCTTACTCTTTTGTCATTATTGTTTTTGAAATAACAGCCTCATATTTGAAGTGATTCTCCACCTCTTAGCCTCAATCCTTTTGTATATTGCAGGAATTTTTCTTCATATTTGTGATTGGGATTTTTAATCAAAGCCCATAAATATAGCCTTAGGAGAATATAGGAAGCCAGGATGGAGTAAAACAAATCAATATCGCAAACTTAGTCCAATTTATGAAACTTTTGTCCCATAACTTTATCTAGTTTTTTTTTTTTTTCGGATTTCTTCAGTTTTACCTGTATTCATTTGTGTGTGTGCGTGTATGTGTGTGCATTTAGTTTATGCAGTTTTATCATCTGTATAGAGCCCGATATCCACCACCATAATACAAATACCAAACCTTTCCATCATCATTCCCTTTTATTACCACACCCACTTACCTCCCTCCTCTTCATCACTAACCCCTGACAATCAGTAGTCTGTTCTCCATATGTATAATTTTGTCATTTCAAGAATGTTATATAAACAGAATCATATATGAAACTTTTCAGGATTAGCTTTTTTCACTCTGTGTAATTCCCTTGAGATTCATGCAAGTTATTCCATGTATCAGTAGTTCATTCTTTTTATGTGTGAGGAGTATACCATGGTATGAATTTTTTTAAGTAATTTATTTTTAGACAATTTTGATTTTTATCTCTGAGGCTTAAAATTATATGAGCTATCAGTTCTAGGAAGATATCAAATTTTGTGTTTGTATATAGGTGGGAATTTATATATATGAACAATAATATCTTGAATTGACCGTTCATGAAGCTGTGTAGTCCTGCCCCATGTCCTGTGTAAACCTTTCCCCAAATTCCTAGGAAAGTGCATGTGACACAGAGAAATAGTCAATAGAAGCTTCACTTTGGGCTTTTACCAAAAAATGTAATGGGCACCTTAGGGACACTGAGCTTGAACAACTGGCTATTTTATAACCGACTGTGATTAAGCCTGCCCTTTATCTCAAAAGAAATGTGGCCTTATACCTTGAGACTGCTCACTGAAATATAGTCCTAAGATAAATGGTTTGGGTAAAATGGGAGCTGTTCTCTCTTAGCAATAATTTCCTTAGTCCTTGAGTGAATACAAACACATCTACATGGTGTATCTTCACGTGTGTGCATACATGTGCATGTAGCATCCTAACTTCTGTCACCACTTACTTGCAGCTGGAGGTGCAGTGTCCTCCTGGTGTCACCCTTGGCTTTGTTGTGGAACACTGGAATTTGTGCAGGGCAGTTTACAGTATCCAAAATGAGAAGAAAGAAAATGTGTTGAGAGTGCGTGGGCCATGCTCAACCTATGGATGTGGTTCAGATTCTGTTTTTGAGGTGAACATATGTAAAAACAATGTTTCTGTTATTTTTTCTTACATGTACTAACAGACCTTGGAATGATTTGGTTTTAGACATTTTTTTCATGTAAATGAATAAGGCTGAGGAAAGAATTACTTAACCAGCTGGCATCAAAGGATTTTATAATTATTGTTAGTGGATTGCTTAATGTTTTCCAAAATGTGAGTTCCTTATTTATGATTTCAGTGCTTGATAAAAATAAAAAGAAGCCATTTAAAACATTAAACTGTCTGAGAGTAAATAGCCTGACTTAATTGAGTTATTAAATTCTTGGCTGTATTTAATTAACAGTTTTGTACAGAGATTTCCAGGACAGGAATATAGGTTCTATGTAATACAAGTGCCCAAAATATCGCAGAACATATAGAGCACTCCTAAGGTTATATAAATTGTGTCTGTGTGTGATAGAAATCTATCAGCATCCTCAAGAAATTGGATAACACTGATAACATGGATAACTTATAATAAGTTGTATTATAACATTTTCTCAAGAAAGAGAAAAATCCTTCTGTTTTGCCTTTATCTCAGTGGCTACAAAATGATTGTTTATCATCCTGTGAATCTGATAAAAGAAATGCCTAGAAATATTTCCTGGGCTTCTTAAAGAGTACTTTCCGAATGCCTTGCAATTTCAGCAAGAGTCATCATCTACTAAAATTGCTTATTTGAATGTTTCCTATGATACCCAATGAACTTTTCTTAGTTCTTATTTTATATCACTATATTATTAATCATCAACTATTTATTCAAAGACCAATATAGATAAGCCAAATTGCCAGGGCAAGCTGTGTGTGATCATTTCCATTGTCAAGTGACCATAGGTACAAGTTATTATTTGAATGTTTTCCCTGTGATAAGTGTCAGGGTCCCCCTTTTATTATAGAAAATGATGCTCTTTGGTATGTTAAGGAGACAGGGTAGATTTGGCCCACAAGATCTTGAGTGATGTGAAGTGCACTGTTCCATACCTCCCTGCTTTACTCATAGGTTTCCCTAGATTGGAAGTAACCTCCCAATCTCTAATTCCTACCCTTTGCTATATGGAGAAGAATGTAGTAATCAATTCAAATCATACCTCCTCTGACAAGGTCCCCTTATAACTCATTTGAAGATAAAGAAAGAGCAATCACCTGAGAATCATAAGATATTCCTCAGCTAAACTATCAACCAGTTGCAAAGGAACTTAACCCTTCTTGCCTGTAATTTTCTCATTGCAATTATGTAATTACCATATTCTTTTCCTACGTTCTCAGTGTAGACTGCTTCTAAGTAGAAGACTAAAACATGCACTCCAATACCTTTCAATCACATGAAGTCACATTCTTGTCATTATAGGTCAAATCCCTCGATGGTGTATCCAACATCGGCAGTATTATTAGGAAATGGAATGGTTTGGTATCAGCAATGGCAGATGCCGACCACTTTGACATTCACTTCCCATTGGACCTGGATGTGAAGATGAAAGGCATGATTTTTGGAGCTTGCTTCCTCATTGTAAGTCTTTTTTTGTAAATTTTTGAGTTATCCTAAGAGAGTTATTCTTTCTGATGAGAAGCAGTGTAGCGTAGCAGAAAGGGAATAATCTTTGAAACTAGGCCAACTTCTCTCTGAGCTACTTACTAGTTACATGTTTTACAAAATGTTTAACACTTGTAAGCCTCAGTTTCCTCATCTGTAAAATGAAAATGAAAATAAATTTTTCTGGGTTATAAATATTGACTATCATATGAGTAAAATGACCAGGAGAGTGCTTAGAAGATATTAGGCATCCAATGGGTGTCACTGCATCTATCATTCTCATTACTTAAAAAATGCTTGTCCTGTGATTTCCTAATGACATAACTCTAAACCTGATATCCTTTCCCATCTTTCTTCCTGCCTTTCTCTCATTGTATACCTTGGTGTTGTATCATCCTTAGATTGTCAAGTTTTTCCTCTTGTTAATGATGAAATTTAGTTAAGTGGTACCAAAAACAGAAAGCCAACAGCTTCAAGTTTGTAATTGCTGCTCTTCACATTAAATTGTCTTCGAAAGGATCTCATTAGATTTAGTTGTTTTTAACTGGAATGTGAGGTCCGCCTCATAAATTATAAAGGATAATATTGTATGGATTGCACCCAAATTTATATATAGCGATCAAAAACATTCTTTTTCCAATTTCAGGACTTCATGTATTTTGAAAGATCTCCACCACAACGTTCATCAAGATAGAGGGATGCAGCAAATCATCAATTACGGTTAATAAATAAAAATTAGAAAGTTAGTATAGGCTTACAGTCAATCCTCAATTATTTGCAAGTATATTTTCTGCTTTGCAGATTTTTTTATTGAGTGTTAACTTTGACAGGTAGGCTGAGAGTCTGAATGCAAGAAAGAATACAATCTAAACATGTGTTTCTGTTCACTTGGTAGACTAGGAATTCATCCTGAAAGCCTACAACTCCTACTTAAAATACTATAAACACTTAAAACACTATAAACATGAAATACAGGAAAATGAATCCCTGAGCTCTCACATTAATAGGTAGTAAGACGGTGGGTTCTTTAGAGCCATCTTTGTTGAGATGAAATAACATGTCATCTGTCTTTAACTCTCTCCAGTCTCCCTTCTCCATCATGTCCTTTTACTGAAGACAAGCTTGATTTGATGTGAAAAGAATGAAACTCTTCATCTTTAAAAACAAAAAGAAAAGCAGACGGAAACATTATGTTTTATTGTACAAGGAAAGTTTATTTGTGCACATGCATCAAAACCTCATTCTACAAAATTTATAAAAGGTTTACTGGGAAATTTGATTTTATTACAAAATAAAACATGTATTTTTTTTAATCTTAAGGTTTATATTTCCCATGCCTGGTCCCTGATTTACCGACATGGACAATCAGGAGCTGCCTATACATGAAGGCAGGGTCAGACTATCAGGAAAGGAGCTGCCCAGAGCCACAGCCAATGAAGATCTCTGAGCAAATTAGAGATACTAGTGTCCTTATAAGAAGCTTGCATTTAATACATTTATACTTAATACATTTACACTTAATACATTTACACATTTAACACATAACCTCTATTGGTCACAGATGCCTTACATATAAAATATGTATGAATGAATCTCTGAAGATTGTCTGTTGTACTTGTGTGTCTCATTTCATGTGATACAGAAGACATAATTGTTTTTTCTTTCAAGAAGATCCCTGGTAGTCACCATATTGTTCTAATGACAAGAATTGGAGTTATGTTTTTAAATTCTGAAATGTGACATTTTGTGTAGCAGTTTATAAAAGCAAAAGCCACAAATTCTGATGTGATTAATACTGCTTTGCTGCTTTTTATTTACATGATAAATAAATGTCTATCTACACAAAGTAACAAAATGCAGCAAATATGCTACTTCTCTGAGATCTAAAGCTTATCAGTAAACATTATGTAAGACCAAGAATAAAGTATCCATTGTACTTGTTCGTACTAATTAATTAAAAGCAGAGTGTATAAGTGAATACACTGTGATTAACTTGCCTCCATTGCACCTTAGCATCCTACCTGGACATGGACTGTGTTTTTTTGTGTGTATGTGTGTGTGTGTAAGATGTTTCTTACACTTACAATTTCTCTTTCTTTAAAAAATAATACTTGTACCATATTTTATAATACAATTTACATTATTATTTCTATATTTTATAGTGGCATTTCATTGTGTAAAATCAATCAGATTTAATAAGAAACAACACCCAGTATGTAGAATGGGATGTATTCTTCATCTGCTCTTTATTATATAAAGAAAGACTCAGTGTTCTTAGGTGGGGTTATTCTGAGATAAGAGCCTTAGTCCACAGTTCTTTTTGAAATGAAATGAAGGTGCTCCAATTTTAAATTATACTCATCTTTTCATAGTAAAGTTGTTTTACTCAGTTTCTTATAATGTTCATTTTTATATGCTGCTACTAGCTTTTTTCAAAAAAGTATAAAAGCTGCTTTCTAAAATATTAATTGCCTTACATTTGAAAATGCAATTGCAATCTTAAACATACATATGCATTTCCTATAATGATATGTAATATTTAATATAGAAAACCAAACAGTATTCACAAAGTTTATCTATATAAACTTTTTATTTTTACTTACCTAAATCTCTGTATTCCAAGATCTGCTGCATAATGGTCAATATACCCATGTACATATTCAGCATAAGATGTGACATTTAAAAATTTTGTTTAAAGTTTTGTGGTATTAACATGTCTCCTGTCTCCTACAGTTACAATTTCTCTTTCTTAAAAAAATAATATCATGTGCCATATTTTTATAATACAATTTACATTATAATTTCTCTATTTCTTACTGGCATTTCATTGTGCAAAATTGATTTTAAAAAGGTGTTATTCTCTGAATTTTGAGTTTTCATGCTTTCTTATATTGCTTGTGGCTTTTAAATAAATATGATATGGTTAATAGTAAAATATTGTTTAATTTTTTGACTTGTGATTGAGTCTTTGAATACTTTTTTTCTAAGGAATTTTGAAGTAATTTTTTATTAATTATTAGGTTTATTCAGGGCCCTTGCTTTCTTATATAAATTTAATACTATTAAAGTCATTTCAGTCATGTTGCTTAGTAGTAACTAGTTTTCTTATATAACCAAGTTATTTATCAATGCTTATTTATAATCCACTTTTAAAAGATGGATCTAAATTTCAAGTATAATTTTAGTGTCTATATATCACGCAGGAAAGCAGCTAGGATTTGTAACTCGCAGAGAAGGATGTATTTTAAAACAATTTTTCTAAGTGACCAGATTTCCAGAAATTATACACAAAAGCAGGTTACCGGATTCATTTACCGAGTTTTCCAACCAACTAGATGTTAAATTTAGTTCAAGTATACAATAAGCAGAGTGATTTCAGGGTACAGTATCTTGCCCCTATTGGGGCATCTGGCTACTTTTTAGTTTATTTTTCTTTTCTCCCAATGTTCAAGGTTTGACTTAATTTATATTCAAAGATACAAACTTGGGAAATGCAAGGTTCTGAATTTAATAAACTAATATCAAATTCAGCTGTTTGGCTACTGATAGCTAATGTTTAAAATAGATCTTTTTCCATAACTTTACAGAATGCATATCCCATTTGCCTCGAGGCCTCTTAAATTCTAAGTCTCAGAAAAGAAGAAGGTGGCATGATAGATTCCAATCGAAGCAGCATAATATGCTACTTGATAACACTTAGAATGGTTAATAATAGCACATGCTAGGCATTCACTCAGTATCTGCTAAATAAATGAAAATACAGTAGGTGCGTAGATTTTTTTTTTTTTTTTGTTTTTTTTTTTTTTTTGAGGCAGAGTCTCACTCTTTTGCCTGTGCTAGAGTGCCGTGGCATCAGACTAGCTCACAGAAACCTCAAACTCCTGGGCTCAAGCGATCCTTCTGCCTCAGCCTCCCGAGTAGCTGGGACTATAGGCATGAGCCACCATGCCTGGCTAATTTTTTCTATATAATTTTAGTTGTCCGATTAATTTCTCTCTATTTTTAGTAGAGATGGGGTCTCGCTCCTGCTCAGGCTGATCTGGAACTCCTGAGCTCAAACAATCCACCCACCTCAGCTTCCCAGAGTGCTAGGATTACAGGCGTGAGCCACCGCACCCGGCCAGATTTTTGAAATATTTATTATAGTAATCAGTAAAACTCTTTACCATCCTTTCCACTATTTCCTTCAATCAATACCCACTTTATTGAGCATCTACTAAATTCAAGCACTAAGATATTTCTGAATGCAAAGGGAAATACAAGATGAAAAATATATAATTAGTACTCCCTAGGGCTCACAGTTTAGTGGATAGGACAGACTTGTAAACAAAGAAATGCATCTTTGAGGACTATGATGAACACATGCTCACTGGATGTTGGTACATTCAATAGAGGCCATGTCATTAGCACCATCTCAGGTGCTCTATGATATATTTTTGTCCCGTTTAATCAGGTACCCAAAGCAGACTGGTTGTGTCATATGCCCAGGGAAACTTCATGGTACTGCTGGAGGTAAATAAGATGTACTTTGTAGCCATGCCTGCAAATTGAATGCATGATAAGCACAATTGAAAAGGTCAATTTAGCAAACTTAATCAAACAAAGAAGGAAATGATTGTTTATTACAGAAAACCATAAGTCCAGGACAATGTCTGGTACATCTAAGATGCTCAATGAATATTTGCAAAATGAATTAAAGAAAGTCCTAATATCTGTATGACACTGTGCTAGGTGTTCAAAGAGAGAATTGAACATGTAATAGTCTATCTCTCAGCAAAGACAAAGCAAGTAAATACATAATTGCAACACAAAGCTAGCTATTATTGCATAAAACACAGTTTTTGTTTAAAATATATATTACTGGATTCTCACAACTACATCATGAGGTAAATGTCAATTGCACCTTTCAGAGAAAGAACAAACTACAAGAGGGGATAGTAATGAGGAGATGGGGTGCTAAGGAGTTTCTTCCCCTGTCGTAATTGTAATAAAGGAAACTGAGGGGTTGGATAAAAGTTGAGAAACATGAAAGCTCCCTAGAAGAGGAAGAGTAGAACAGGTAGAATTTAATTAATGCACAAGCTTGGAGAGCTTCCCAGCCTCAGGTGTGCAACCAGAAATCTGCTGAGGCCTATTATCCTAACCCTGTGTTCCCAAGTGCCCAGAATGGGTTGGTGGAGAGTGTTCACTGGTTGTGTGGCAAGGGTGGGAAAGGTACTAGGGGCGGGGTTATGGTGGTGCCTTTGTATATAATATCTAAACAAAAAGATAAACAGAAAATTCTAAAAACATGTTCTGTAATTAGCTAGCATATGGCTGCCTGTTAAATTTTCCTGCAGTTCTTAGTTCTGCTGCTTCTCAGCAAAGGAGCCTGTCATGTGAAATCATTCAATTTTGAGATGTGTAGCTGCTAGAATTACCTCAAGACTTAATTCTGGGCCAGATGGATATGCATCTGGGCACGTATGGAGAAAAACCAACCTAATCATGAGACAGGTGGGATAATATAAGTAATTACCTATAATAACAATAATGATAATGATGAAGATGATGATGCTATTAAAACTGGCTAACTCCTTTTCATGCATCCTATAAGCCAGATACTGGTCTGGTTCTAAGGACTTTCTATATATTAACCCATTTAATTCTCATAACTCTATGAGATAGATTACTATAATAATTCACATTTTGCAGATGAGAAATCTTAGATATCTTGCACAAGGTCACCCAGCTACCTAGCTATCTACAAAGCCATTATTTGAGGCTGGTTTCAGAGACCCACTAAGCCACTATTCCCCGTTCTTTCATCTCTGTGTGATGTTTGGTTTGTTTGTATGTTATCAAAGAAATACAGGGAAACAGAGATAGAGGAGAATGGTGGCATGCTATCTCATGTGTTTTCAAACTTAGGATTA